CTGTAAACAACTATCCTAATTGTCTCCAAGGCTGAAAGTAGGAAACTGGTTCTTCCTTGTTATCTTTATTTGCTTCAAATAGCAATTACTTCAACATCTTTATTTAGTTCTTATTATATCACAAATTTAACAATCTTAATTGCTTCTATTCACATGTATATAAACGTTGGAATTTTTCTCTAAACCTAAAGCATAAACCCTTGTTTTTCCTTTCTATCAATTTGTGGTTTGTTAAATGACACAGGCCTCTGCTTTCCCTGAAACAAAGGCTGCAGCAAAATTTTCCCGAAATTTAAGGTCCGACAAATTCTCTTAATAAACTGGACCAATTGATGTTTGACCCCATGATACTTAATTTTCGAATTTAATTTTTGACGCCCTCACTTTGCACTCTGAAGTTCAAAATAGGTTTTAGCCCTTGTGATCCACCCAATGGAATCTTATTCACTAAAAGTAGGCAGTTTCACCTTTATTTACAGTCATACTATATTCATCAAAACTAATAAAGATAATCCAAATTAGACCCATTTCCTGCATAATCTCTCTCATTGCAGTTAGAACTTCCATTTTTCTCCTGTAGATGTATGTTTGGCCAACACCTTCATTAACAGCTTTTCAGTCATAGAAAATTCCATAGATCCTATATTTTCTTCAATGCAAGCATCAATTGCGGCCTCCAACGAATCCATGTGCTCAGTCACATTAGTCATAGTGAAATGATAAAATCAATTGCTACAGAACCTCCACTTTTGAATCCGGCAAAAAGGACCAAAATAATAGAAAACCAATTGCTCAATTGAAGAAGGATATAGCTAAATTGCACAAAATAAATAGAATACAGAAAAAATTGCTAGCCCAGAGTAAGAGACTCCTTCAGAAATGAGTTCTCTATCAAACAAATTACCAAAAAACAACACACCTATCCCCCTATTACAAACATATTTAACAATATGTAGGTATGTAACTGCTCCTAACTTTCTGCCAAAAACTTTCGTACCTGCTCTCCTAACTCTCAGCTTATGGCCACTATGAACTTGGTCGCTGTTTAAAATTACTCGCTAATCGAATAGTATAAGAAAAAAAAGAAGAAGAAGAAGTAGGATTTCCTTCCTGCAGCAAGAAGAACTGCATTGGAGTGGAAGTGCTGCGTTTGCATATTTAGAGGAATCCGAGTCTATAAACCTACCAGGCACAGTAGCAAAAGAATATAGCAGATATCAAAGTCTATAAATCTACAAACACATGATTTACTTCTCATAACATAATGAGCTGCGAAAAGGATAAAAAGGATATGCAGCCGATTCCTTGTTTGCTATCTATACAACATAGAATAAACGAAGATGTGTTGGAAATGGAGAGTGAAGGATTACCGACAACGAAGAAGAGTCTTGTGAACTTTTCCATAAAATTCGGCAGTTACGTTAGGTTTTACAGCTCCAAAAGAACCTGCAATGGAAAACTGTGAGCCGGCAAACAGGAGATAGAGAGATTCAAGAATAAAAAGTAAAGGAGGGAATGAAACACACTCGCAGATTGAAGTTTCAATCCGGAGTAGAGTTTTGTGGCAACACTGCAACGGCAAAAGGAAAACACAGGAAGCATTAGTTGCATTACTGATTGAATTATACAATTTTGAAGAAGAGAGAGTGAGAGACGGTAACCTAAAATTGGAAGAGGAAGAAAGACGAGGTGCTGAACCGGTGGTGTAGGGTGCCACCGCCATGTTGAAGCGATTGTGAGCGGATAGGGAACGCACTTTTGTGCTCCAAAAATAAAAAGACGAACGGGTTCCTTGCAAGAGAAATGAAGATGAATGAACATCGACGACGTGCCGTTTGGCCCCTCTTTATGTCAAATCAATCTAACATAGAATCTTGCATAATTTGGTTAATGTGAGTTATTGGACGAAGTAACAAATAAAATAAAGAAAACAATAAATATATAAAATAAATATATTATTATAGGTATAAATAATAAAAGAATAGGCTCTCCAAATATTTCAATTTAATCTATATAAATTTTATGTTAAAATTTTAATATATAGCTATAAAATAATTAATCAATGAAATTAGTATATTGATATACATATAAAGTAGTAAAATAATATTACTGATATCAAATAATAGACCTAATGTTAGATTATATATATCTATAGATCTTTATTTTAAGTTTTAACAAACAAAAAAGCATCTCAAAGAAACTTAAATCAAATATTATTCATCGGTTAATTATATCAGGAATGGTAGAAAAATTAGTTATGTTATAGATCTTACCCTCAACAATAAATGCACATAAACAAATGTTTTGTATATGATAACAAATATTAGAAAAAAACTATTAAACTTTAAATTCATACTTCAAAATAAATTAACAATTAGAATGGTATCAACGTATATCATTTAATCTAAACTCTAAACCCTTATCAACACAAATGACTTCACCTAAATAAATAATGCAATTTCCCTAATTCATACTAAACAACACATCCAAAAAAAAATGAATAACTTAAAATAGAAAATATCCAAAATCACTTTGAAAATCCCAAAAGCATTCTTGCTGATAATTTATTTGCGTTTGAAAATTGTTTAGTCACTCAAAAAAAGTTTAGATAAGCAACAATAATAAATATTTACTTTAAAAAATAAATTAAGTTAACTCAATGATAAAAATTAAAACATTCAATTAACCATTTTAAAGAATAAAAGAAACAAACTAAAACTTCGAAATTTATGAGTAAAAAATGTTTTTCATTCAGAATGATAGGTGGTATATAGATAACAATTTAAAAAAAATAATTGTATATATAAAATCAAATAAACACGTTAGCTCCTAATTACAAAGTTGTTGACTAGGAAAGTCAAATTAACTGCATAGTGGTATATTGCTAATTACATTAGTGATACTGAACTCAAATCTTTTAATAAGGTTTTGATTTGAATTTGTTAATTACATTAGTGACCAATATGGAAAATGGGTAAGTCCATTGGACCAATTATAAACAAATATATTTTAGGAAATATTGAAAAATGTAAGACCGGAAAAAATGTCAATTATAAGAAAATATACTTCCAAATGTTCAATTTATCTTAAATTCAATTTTCAGGATTATCAAGATAATATCAGATTATTCAATAATTAACTTTATTTTCAATAATATTAAAATTCACGCATGAGATCGCATATACCCACCCACACAAAAAAATGAGAGACGAAAATTAAAAATATAGTTTCATATTACTGAATTGTTGGTATTGTGAAGTTAGGATAGTTCATGATTATCAAAATAGTTCGGCGGCTCAATTGGTTCAACCAATTGGACAGAAAATTGGTAAAAAAAAAAAAATAAATCGGTTGAAGTTTAATGAATGGGTCAAAATCGATAAACTGGTTAAAAATTGAAAAAGTAAGTCAAATAGGACGGGTTAAGAGTTTTTTTTTTTTTTTAATAAAAGGATTAAATAATGTTGTTTTATCTTATATATTTTTTCTTTAATTTAACATAAAGATACACAAAAGTAGAGGAACAAAATTATTTTTTATATTTGTGGTATTTTTTTTACTACAGTTTCGTTCTTATCACTATATAGTTTTTTTCTTACGTTGTTTTTACTATTATCGTTATCTACTATTATTATCACTGTAATCATTCATGAAAATAAACAACATGTAATTATCTCTTAATTTCAAAAATTAATTTGATTGGACACTAAATTATCCTTGGTTCCATAATATCACTATAATCATTCATGAAAATATAATAATATGTAATTACCTCTTAATTTCAAAAATTAATTTGATTGGACACTAAGTTATTCTTGATTCCATAATCATATCTTAAAATAAAATAAAATATATAAAATTTAAGATTAGATGTAATAGAAGATATGATATAATTTTTCCCCAAATTGTGTTTCAAGTTAAATGTAGTTTTTCCCCTAATTATTTTCAAGTTAATTGTAGTTTTTTTTTCTTATCTATTTTCAAGTTAGCTGCATTGATAATTTTTTTTGTGATAATATGTTTATTCATATTATTTTTTTAATATATTTTACAAATGCTTTTATTATTATATAATACCTTTTCAAATAATATTTATATTAAATTAAAATTGTTAATATATTATAATAAACTTATTTTAAATTTAATATATTATTATATTATTAAAATATATTATTTTATTAAATCCAGTTTAATGTTTAATTCTCAATTAAATCATAAACTTAGATTATCAGTCCAATTCTAATAACATGATTCAATTATTTTTCCATACTATATATAAAAAATGATCAATCTATATCAAGAATAGTTTTAAAATAATTATTTTTCTTTTTAGTGTCTTTTTAATATATATTTCTTATCTGTAGAAATTGAAACATATAAGAATTTACAACTAGTCATGCATCCTGATAAAACAATTAAACTCAAACCCTATTGAAATTATTTTTCTTATCTAAAGGTTTTTAAAAGTAACACATCTTTTAACGGCTAGATCAATAGAAAAGATAAAAACACCATCAAGTCCCTAAAACTGTATTCTGTACACACAAGTGACCCAAATGTGCTCACTAAGCACACATCGTAATTATTGATATTCTCGAGACTTATTTTAATTTTTCTTAGTTCTAGAAATGAATGTGACAGAATTTTCTGCTTTCAGATACTAAAATTGTGTTTCACCCACACATAGTAACATAATAAAAAAATAACTGAATTAATTTTTTGTTTAATTTTGAGTTTTAAAATAACTTTAAATTTTAAGCGTACAGGTGAGGTTATAAGGTCAAGATTTTGTAATTTGCATTTACTACAACATGCATGAATCAAACAACAAAATAAAACTGCTTTGATGCAGATACAGAACCAGATACCCTATTGTCCATGCCAACAATGGAAACAAGCCAGCAACCCACACCTAAATTGCATGATAGTCCAAACTAGCATCTTATATGGGTCGTAATTTGTGCCCTCAAGCTGCATTGGAGACTCCACAGAACAAGCCATCAATCATCATGGTCATCCAAAGATGTGTAGATCATCCTGCACCAAAAAATCACTGGTAAGAATAATAACTTAACAGCACTTCTTTAACTGGGGCCTTTCGCTGCTAGTCACCATACCAAAATAAGGATAGGAAAAGGATGAAAACAAGATAGAAGAGTTTGAAAAGCCGTTGCTTCTTTTCCTTAGGGAGCAAGTTGAATATCTCTGTAACATCAACCAGATGATTTCCTCGTCTGTACCTGATCAAAGGGAACCAAGATATGTAATTAGCAACACCATATTAAGCACATTCCAGAGTATATTAAGATATCAAGGATAATTTAAGCAAGAAAACAAGTCATCACCTCTAACAACAAAAAACCATTAACTAATCGAAATGGTAGCTGGGACACACACAAAAGCTACAAGGTGATGTCAATGACAAACTGATACTGAACTCTACAATTGCCAAATGCAATTTTATTTGACAGAAAAGGGTGTGTAGACTGTCCTAAACAACTCCAGCAAAAGGTAACTTCTAACCTGAGTTACTAATTTGGATACCAAATTATTCCCTTAAGTAAAATGGATGAGATTTAAGAAGTAGCAAACACATCTAAAATTGTAGCCTGCCTATCAAATCAACTTTATAAATGAATAAAGCAAGTTTACAACTATTGAGTTCATTTTTGTCTCGTGCATCATGCCTATATCACTCCTTTGGCTCATCTACAATATTAGGGATGTTTAGGACTATTTTCGAGTTTGGTTCAGTTTGAGGATAAAACTACATTAAATTAGCCTTCACCAGTCCGCAAAATTTAGAAACCAAACTGAATCACTGTCCCTATTTCATTTGGATTTTTGAATTTCAACAAAAACTAAACCAACTATAATGACCTTTTACAATACATATAGAGTAAAGAAGATAATAACATGAACCTCATATTTATAAATTCAGATAGTAGTAGAAGATGAAAGATATAGAGTGAGATTCGTAGAAAAAGTAAAATAAACCTATTTGAGGCCCGTTGTCTTCATCATACAAGAAAACACTGCCAACCCACCCCCCTCCCCTCCCCTCCCTTCCCCTCCCTTTTTTCCAGTGAACCAAAACCATGAAAAAAGGTTGAACAAACTTGCCATATAGTAAAAATTTTGGTTAAACAATTTGGTTTGATTTTCCCAACACTCCCATACTAAAGTGAAATTGCAGAACAATGCAGTGATCCCCAAAATCAAATTCAAACCCTCACCCAAACTATTGCACTTGCAGAAAATATTACACTTAGTAGTAACATATAGGCTGCTTAGCAACTCCATATCAATCAAATTGGCCTGTATCGTGCCATTAACAAGTGACACTTTTCCTGGGCAGTCACACTACTACAATGCCAAAGAATGCAAAGATTCAAATTTCTAACTCAATCTGACATCCACTCTTTGGATGCAGACATGGATTATTTCCACTTAAATGTTTCTTAAATACATAATATTCAGTAAACAGTATATTCCGTAAACAATAAACTTTCAGCTTATTTCTGAAATTGATAGAAAACTTACAATCTCACATTGTAGTAGAGATAAGGAGCACAGAACAATGACATTATCCAATGCCCTGTGACAAGGTAGAAGCCGCACAGAACACCTACTACAATATATTCAGGTAATACCACTTGGTTTATTCGAGATGAAGAATCATATGGATTTATATAATCAAATTCTAGGTCCGCCAAGCACATTAACTGCAACAAATGTCAAACAATATCACCAGTCAGATTATACCAACAATAAAAAAAGGATGAAAGCACACCAAACACAACCAAATTCAGTACACTCCTGGAGAAAATATCAATGACACAAAAACACATTTGGGGGTAATAACACTTCACAATCTTCAGAAGCAGAAGCATAAAAGTAACAGAACATGCACTCCTAACTCGTAGAATATTCAATAGATCAAATGAAGACATGAACACATAAAACATAAGAAAATTAGGTCATTTCTAGTAGAGAGACCTCTTTTCAAAATGATAATAAACACATATGTAATGTAACCTAACTATGATTATCTGCATCAATCAAAGAACCCCCACGTTTTTTTGTTGATTGTGTATCAGAAAGACTATGACACAATGCATTCTGTTCATTGAAGTGCGTCTCCTGAGGAAATACTCAAACTGAGCCCATAGACAACTAATTTTTATCTCAAGTGGCTTCTCTTGAAGTTGGTAAGTGTTTTTTTCTTCTTCAACTTTTTTAAGATACGAATTGACTTCATTTTCTTTTTACCCATGGCAATGAATGTTGCATTTGGAACAATCAGACATACACCCAGTTGAATGTTCGAACTAAAGAACCAATTTTCGAGGGATGGGGCTCTTTAGATTGCCCTGAAGTTGACTTTAATAAGAAATTGAAAAAAAAAAAAAAAAAAAAACATAAGGAAGCAACAAGCATGAGTTAGGGCTTTTGGAATTGACCTGGTAAATGACGAGTACAATTAAGGCAATAAGGATGAAGAAGGAGATGAGCCAGACAAAGATATCAGCCATGCTCCCTCTCTTTTCCTCTTTCTCTGGTTTTCGATTTCAGTTGCAGCACAAAGCGTTCGAAACATGCGATTTTAATTGCGCAAGATGGTAGCTACAAAGGGCTCGTGCGCAGGGTGCACGACACGGATGGAACACAGGAAAAAAACCTCGGAGGGTTTGGATTCCGCTGACAGACAGACAGACACTAGGCGAAGCTAAGAATCGTGTGCCAACTTAACCATGGAAAGGTCATTAGCAGTCCACCGCGAAAAGAAAGGAATTAGTAAACCCTTTTCTAAAAACTAAAAAAAAAACAAAGATAAATATTCTGCATATTAATCCAAGTTATTACGTCATTTCCATATTTTGTTTCATACATGTTCTTTTTTCTCACCTTCTTTAGAAATAGAATCAAAACAAATATAATTGTTTTTAATTGGTACCAATAATAAAATTGGTGAAATAATTGATTAATTAACGATTTCCTAATTTTATTGGTGAAATTGGTACCAATAATCTTTCTAAATTTATAAAAAATTAAATACATTTTTTGAGATAACACGTTTATTATTTTTTATATTAGAGTTCGTCTTTGTGAAATTAGCATAAAATTTTGATTAGATTAAGGTTTTCTTTTTTCTATCTTTTTGCATGTGGTGCGTAGACGGAAGATGTGATGTTTTTTTAGAAAAATAAATAAATTTACGCTAGTTTAAGTTCTTAATAATATATTTGATTTGAAAAATAAGATTTTTTAAGAGTAACAAACGTTATTCTTACTAGTTGCACTGGTGTGTAGAAATATTAATGGCTTGAATTGTGATTTAGCAGTTAAATTTTATAAACTTATATGAATTCATAATTGTTAACTTAAAATTATATTGGATTTCATGAATTGTGTTAAAATGGTACGAAGATGGTATTATGATGCATATTATAGTTAAAATTATTTGAGATGAATTTGTATTGTCTAAATATTTTGTTAGGAATTCATAACTTATTCAATGTCATATGAAATTTTAATTTGAACGAGGTTTGTACATAATTAGGTTAAACTGGATTGTTATGTTTCAAGTCAAAACATGATTTAAACGAGCTAATGTTGATGAAAATATAATTTAAAAATAAATAGATAGTTAATTGATTTGTATAGGAAAGCTATAACTTAGGAATCACATCAATAGAGTTTAAAATTAAAATATTTTGAAAGGAAGCATTGATTCTTTAGATTCAAATTGAAGTGAAAACTCGTTTAAAAATAAATTTTGACAACTTCGTAATTCTGGAAATATAGATCAACCTAATAAATTTATTTTCGCTTAGTGAAATTAAGATAACGAATAAACCTCAAATTTTGCTCTTTTTTTTGTCTTTGAGAAGATTTTTTATAATATTGAGTTTCAATTATACATAATTTTTTCAACAAAATTTATATAGAAAATAAGAATTAAAGTTTTTCAATCATATACGTATTAATTTAATTTTATACGCTTTATTCGAATCCATTTAGCTCACTCAAACACATGAAAAGAGTCAGAAACTTAAAAAAAAAAAAAAGTAGATTAATAAATATATATGATATAAAAATAAATATATTATAACAATTTATTACAAATTAAAAATTATTCATATATTTAATATTAATATATATATATATATATATATAATTAAATATGTTTTAATTCAATATAACATCAAATAAATATATAATATTTTATATTATAACAATCATCAATTATCACATTTTGTTTATATGATAGGTTGTTTTATATTTTGATTATTTTTAATTTGATTAAATTAAATATTATTTTTTATTATTTGTTATATAATTTGTTCTTAAAAAATAAATTTATAATTTTATTTTTAGATATGTTTTAATTTCTTTCTTTCTATTTTAATATTTAAATATAACATCATACAACATTACAATAACTAAATAATTTAAAATAAATAGTATACCTACTAATATGTTATAATAATGAAAAAAATAAAATAAAATCAAATAAATGTACTTTGATTTTTTTTCAAGAAAAATATTAATAGAATATCTTATTTATTTTTTAAATTCTGATTTTTGCTTTCCAATACATTTATGTCTCCATATTAATTGAAGAAGAAAAAAACTAAAGACATGCAAATTATAATTTCTATGTTATAGAAGTGAAGAAGTAGAGAAAATTTAGAAAAAAAATTAGAAGTAATAAAGAAGTTAAGAGAAAAATATAAAAGTGAAGAGTAATAAAGAAGACAATAAATATGTAAAAGTTTAAAGACGAGAGGGTTCGAAGTTGAAGTTGAAGAGGAAAAAAATGGAAAAGAGAGTGAAGAAAAAAAAATTGTTAATGAGAAAAGTTAAAATGGAGAATGAAAAAAAAATAGAAGAGGAAAAGATAAAAATGTGAAAATAAAAATACGAGAAAGAAAATTTATAAGTGAAAAAGTTGTAAGAGAAAAAATAAATTATATTTATAATAATTATTATTATTGTTTTTTTATATAAAATAACAAATATAATAGTTAAAATTTATTTATATTTAAAATTAATATTTATTCATTTTTTATTTATCGGTGTGGCCGTGGCTACCTACCTCTGCTCAATTAGATATAATGAATAAAATTATCAAATTCAGTCAAATGATTTTTATTTTTTTTAGAAAGTGTACAATTTTTTCAGTGAGTAGAAATATAAATTTTTTAGTCAATATAAGAAATAAATTCCAATGATATAATATAATTATTTTTTTATTTGTTTTCTGTCTTATTATTTTTTTTGCTCTCTTTTTTATTATTATTAATCTTATATTTTTTATCTAAAAATATTATAATTTAATATATCATATTTTAAAATTTTTATATTATAAAATTGGGTATTTTTTATGATATAATTATTAAGAAAAAAATAAATATTTATTTTAAAGTAACTTTTTAATAAATATTTGTTTAAAATTATCTAATAGGACTAATATTCATAACTTAAATTAGTTATAATTAGATTAAATTATTAAATAAAAAATACATTTAACTCATTAAATATTTAATATTTTTATTAGATTAGTAATTAATTTATTATGATATAATAATTTAAAATTAATTAGTTATATTACAGTAAATAAAATTATTTACTGTTATAAAGAATAAAATTATATATTTTCATCCTAGTTTTAAATGATTAGTTGATATTTTTTTCTAGTTTATATTATTTTAAAAAATTTATACTAACACAATTTTATTAAATTTTAATATAGTAATTTTAATTAGAAGTGTAAATGAGAGAATAAAGAGAAAACCAAGAAGCATAAGTTACAAAAGATAATTAAGGAGTATATGAGGAGAGAGAAAAAAATTATGACGAGAAAGAAGATACATAAGATATGAGCAATCAGAAGGTATTAATAAAAATTATAATTAAATAATTTATCTTTAAAATATATTATTTGTAAAATTGATATGAAGTTAAATAGATGATTTATAAATTAAATTTTTTAAGTATCCAATATTTTTAAGAGATAATTCATAAATTTTATTGTTTATAAACAAAAATAATTAAGAGTGGTTTAATAAAATAATTAATTAAATAAACATTTTAAAAGCCAATTAAGATAATGTATTATAGTTATGTTAGTGTGGAATCGAGAAGCTCTGATCGAGAAATGAATCGAAAGGGAACTTTCCCGATGTCCGATTATAAAGAACGTGACACATAAAATCGAAAGGTAAAATCGGAAGAGAAGGTGTAATAGTCGAAAGCTTAACATGGAGTTAAAGTTAAAATAAATCGATACCAAGGATGCAAAGTTCTCGATTAAATCAAAGGGAAGGCTCGTTTCGTAGATATCATAACCTCTGCTAAACCTTGAAGGAAAATAGTCAAAACGCACGCATGGAAAGCAGCTTCTAAGTTATGGAAGAGCCAAAAATCATGGGAACGTGGGGAAACAATAGAAGAAAAACCGCCATACGCACGTAGAACGTGGTAACAGTCGTGTTAACCGTTCTTGGAAGGCTTGAAAGATGCCCTATAAATAGAGCAAAGAAGGAAGGAACAGGGGAAATTGGCAGAGAACGTAATCGAGTAGTGAAAAGTCTACCGGAGAAACGACGAACACCATGAAGTTTCGGCAACTGGATTTCCTTGCTCACCGAGTACATTTATCGCTTTCTATATTTTCCTTGGTAATTTACTTTCGAGCCATTTCAATTCAAGCAATTTCATATTCTTGTAGATTACATTCAATGTCATTTCGATTTCCGTTATTTACTTTCCGTGCAATTTTAATGGGTTTTAGCAATTTACATTTTCCGCACATTTCGATTTCCGTTATTTACTTTCTGTGCAATTTTAATGGGTTTTAGCAATTTACATTTTCCGCACATTTCGATTTCCGTTATTTACTTTCTCGTGCAATTTTAATGGGTTTTAGCAATTTACATTTCCCGCACATTTCGATTTCCTGTCCTTTATTTATCTCGCAAACTTAATTTCTTGCAAATTCGGGTTTTCGCACTTTCTTGCAATTTAATATTCTCTTTGCTCGATTCGATACTTTATCGTTTTGTTTGAGTCAAGCATTTTAGACATAAAATACCAAAAACCACATTTTCGATATCCCGTAGTTTTCAATTCTCATACGCGTTTTCGATTGAAAATCAAATTGCTAGCCTAAGTAAAAAGAACTTACGTGGTAGAATTTTGATTAGGACCAAAACACCCTTAGAATCGAAATCGATCGAAATTCCACCTGAAACAAATTGGCGCGCCAGTAGGGGACTTGTGTTGAAAAAACACAAAAGAGGTTAGTTCGAGAGTGTATGAGATTAAGAAGTGGGAGAGTTATAAGAATGAGTCGAATTCCTCAAGTAGTCGTAATAACAATGAGGGTCTAAGTGGTGTGCTCCCACCAAATACTCGGGGGCAAGGGCAAGGGCATAATGGGAGTATACCTAGTAGTGTCGACAACCGTGAGCACGTCGATACCAATAAGTAATGAACAAAATCCAGGTCCATCGGCAAACACCCATGT